ATAATCCTGTTTGAGACTAGGGTTTTCTTTGTTATGTTAATGAGGCCATATTAGTATAGGTGTGTTCTAATCCTAATCACTTCTGAGTTATAAAAAGAGCAGATTAGGCACAGAAGTAAACACAAATGGGGGAGATGGATGCCGCATGGAGATGGCCAAGGAACTGAGGAATGCTGGGGCTACAGAAGCTCGAAGAGACAAGGATCTACCCCTACAGCTGACAGAGAGAGCCCTCCCCTAGAGCCAAGGCCCTGTGAGAAAATAAATTTCTCTTCTTTAAAGTTGCCCACTTGTGGTATTTATGTTACAACAGCACTAGGTAACTAAGATAGGCTGCAACAGCCAATTTGCAACTATAGGGTAAGACAAAGTGAATTGCAGAGATATTAGTTCTGATATTACTGAGTCAGTAAAACTGCCTACCTCTGTTCTTCTTGTGAGAAAAATATACCTTTTTGTTTTTAATGTCACCACAGTCAAGTTTTCTGTTATCTTCAGCTGAAAGTATTCACATTTCTGATTTATCTAGTCTTGCTTGCAGCCAATGGCACGGGCCCAGACTTTTAATTAAAAGATAGTGATACAAAGAAGCATGGATTGTGGGGAATCCTTTCTGGTGAAGAGGGTAGTAGTGGCAGTGGTTCTGGTGGCACCATCCAGTGTGCTGACAATTCAGACTTTATTTATTTCCTGGTGGCCTTCACTAGGGACACAGAAAATAGATTCTTTGTATTGAAAAACAATGGTTACTACTCATTGAGTGTTTACTGTGAACCAAGAAAATTTATACATTTTCTCTCATAATCTTCATATCAAGCACTGAAGATGGGTAATAATCTTCCTCTCTGACGTTAACTGACTTGACCAATATTACACAGTGAGTAAGTAGCAGAGTTGGGGTTCAGGTTACTGTGACTCCAAAGCCAGATCTTAGCCACAATACTATACTGCTGGTAATTCTTTTGCTAAATCCCAAATTTTGGACCTGAGATAGCTGAGGCTGGAGCCTGGGGCCCTACCCTAGGAGGGGAAGAAAGGCTCACGTAGACTGTTGTCTGGCATCAGCCCCTTCTGGCAGGGGATAGAGGATCAGCCCAAATGCAGGCAAGCTCTGTGCCACGCTGAACAGATGCTGGCGGTCCTGTAAGCCAGGCCAAGAAATGCTCCAGAGGCACTGTCAGACTTCTGTGTCTGAAACCCTGAAAGATAAGATGGGAACTTGGGTAGCACCCTCAGAGACAAAGCAATTCTGCGTGGGTAGAATGTGCTGAAATCCAGGTAAAATAAGAAAGCGGCAAAATACACTAAGGGAGGAGGGGCATGTTTGGGAATCAATCAACTCCCCGCTGGCAACTCTTGCTTGCAAAATTGTTAACTGCACTCCTTTTTCTCTGTCTCCTCTCAGGCAGGATTTTGAGGTCTGAAGTGCAAAGCTCCAAAACCCAGATGCAGTCTTCCTCTCACCTTCCATTCACCCATGTCCCAAGCCTCAGAGCCACCCTGGCCCCTTTCATTTACTCAGTTTTTTCCCCCTCCATATTTATCTATTGAGTATCAGCTTTGTGCCAGACAGACAAGGACTCTACCCTCAAGGAACTTACAGGAGAGGAAGACATTAAAAGACAATTGAACAAATAGCTATTTAATTAGGACTGTGATACCTACTAGGAATGAAAAGTCCTATTCATGAGTATATACCTGGGGAACCAGATCTACCCTGGGGCTCATCTTGCTCCCCTTTTCCATTTCTCTTCTCCTTGTCATCATTATCATCATCCCCTTTATAAAGAATGTTATCTCCCGCATTGTACCCTCTTCTGCATCCCCACACCACAGCCTTGATTCAGACCTTCATTGGATCTTCATGTCTGTCTCCTAAGAGGTCTTTCTGCCTCTATTTTTGCCCATTCAAGCCCATGCTGTACACTGAAGTTAGAACTGAATTTCTAAAACACAATCTGACTAGCTCCTCTTTGCTTTCAGATCAGCAGTTTAGCTCCTTTGCCTGGCGCAGCTTGCTGAACTTTTTTCCCCCAGCCTTATCTCCTATTCCCCACCTCAGCCTAGCACAGATTCCTATCTCCCCTACTGTTTACTCACGTTTGCTCTGCAATGTTCTAACCATCTGTCTCAGACCAGGAAATGACTATTCTGAATTCAAGGCACCCACTGAACACTTGCTTGATGAAAGGCCACCATGGATAAGGCATTGGGTGTTGGGCACTGGGCAAGATTAGAGAGGAGGGAACAGCTGGAAGCCAGAAGTCAGCACCTCTTCTGAAGAGTATCCCCAATGGCAATATGTACCTACATCCACAATAGGTTGTAAGCTCCATGAGGGCACTGACACAGTCTGACTTGTCTACTGCTATATCCCTACTCATGCCTGGTACAAATATAGCATGGTGCCTGGCATGTACGAAGAGTGTATGAAAACAATAAAAGTGTATGAAAACAATAAAAGTGTATGAAAAATAAACGAATAAATAGAAACTATAGAAACTGCTCTTAAACAGCCTCCCGCTGAAGTTACTAGGGTCTAGTATGTGTGTAACATGTGTCTACCAGTTGCCTTTGAGTCAATTCCGACTCATGGCAACTCCATCTGTGTCAGAGTAGAATTGTGCTCCACAGGGTTTCCAAGGAGTGGCTAGTGGATTTGAACCGCCGACCTTTTGGTTAGCAGCCATAGGTCTCAACCATTGCACCAGCAGGAGATACTGCATGCTTTAAAATCAGGAAAGGTGTGTGTGTCAGGGTTGTATCCTTTCACCATACTTATTGTCTGTATGCTGAGTAAATAATTGGAGAAGCTGGACTATATGAAGAAGAACAGGGCATCAGGATTGGAGGAAGACTCATTAACAACCTTCGATACGCAGATGACACAACCTTGCCTTCTGAAAGTGAAGACTTGAAGCACTTACCGATGAAAAGCAAAGACTATAGCCTTCAGTATGGATTGCACCTCAACATAAAGAAAACAAAAATCCTCACAACTGGACCAATAAGCAACATACGATAAATGGAGAAAAGATTGAAATTGTCAAGGATTTCATTTCACTTGGATCCACAATCAATGCCCATGGAAGCCGCAGTCAAGAAATCAAACAACATATTGCATTGGGCAAATCTGCTGCAAAGGACCTCTTTAAAGGGCTAAAAAAGCAAAGATGTCACTTTGAGGACTAAGGTGCACATGACCCAAGCCATGGTATTTTCAAATAACCTCATATGCATGCGAAAGCTGGACAATGAATAAGGAAGACCGAAGAAGAATTAATGCCTTTGGATTGTGGTGTTGGTGAAGAACACTGAATATACCACGGACCGTCCGAAGAATGAACAAATCTGTCTAGGAAGAAGTACAGCCAGAATACTTCTTAGAAGCGAGGAGCAAGACTCCGTCTCACAGACTTTGGACATGTTATCAGGAAGGACCAGTCTCGAGAGAAGGGCATCATGCTTGGGGGTCAGTAGAGGGTCAGCAGAAAAAGAGGAAGACCTTCAACGAGATGGACTGACACAGTGGCTGCAACAATGGGCTCAAACAAAGGAACGATTCTGAGGATGGTACATCAGGCAGTGTTTCATTCTGTTGTACATAGGGTCTCTATGAGTCGGAACCAACTCCACAGTACCTAACAACAACCGAGTCAGACTGATGTGTTCCCTACAAAGTTCCAACAGTTACTTTGTGACCTTGGCAAGTTATTCATCTTCCTCATTCGAAAACTGGGGGACATTATGGTATCCATCTCTGACAGTTGCTGTTAAGATTAAATAAATGCACTTGAAGTACCCAGCACAGGCCTGGCATGTGGTCACCGTGCAGTAAATGGTGGCTGTTATCTTAAGGACTGTGTTTGTTACATGAGTTACTCTGGCATATAACGCCTGCATTCAACTTGAAGCACGGACCTGCCACAGTCGATCAGCTTTATAAACTGAAGGGGTGGGAACTGTAGCACTCGCCAATTTTTCTAGAAATAAATCTTTGTGGGAGGATAATGATTGGTTGGAAAATGTGAGCCTCGAGGGAACAAAGATCTGAACCCAAGAAGCTGGGAAGCTAAGTCTTCCCAGCGGGCTGCAGCCACTGAGTGGTACCTCCCCAGGACTGGGCAATAGCCGGGTGGGCACGCCCAGCCCTGGGTGAGGTAGTCTCAGAAGCCAGATTTTATCAGAGGGGGCAGCACCTCCTCTGCTTTTGCTCATCTTATTCCTGGGGGCTCCACCCTGCGCGCCAGGAGGAAGGACTCTAAAACCGCCGGGCGGAGGCTTCCGCGCGGACCCAGACCTGACCATCTATGGTCACAGAGCGCATCGCACAAACAGGAAGTAGAACGAGGGTCGAACTTTTTTCTCCACCTTCCCAGCTCCGGGCCGGATGAAACGGCTGGCTGCGACAGGCACGGCCTCACCGACCCCCTTCCCACACACAGCCTCTGCAAAGCCTCCCAGAACACTGTCCAGACCAATTCCTTTCTCACATCACGAACAGAAACTGAGGCATGCACCCCAGAGAGAGGCGGAGACATAGTCCCCGCCCCCAAGGAGGGTTGATAGATCGAGATTCCCACCCTCAGAGAATCCTGCCCCCTGGTACTTCCTAGACCCCTTCCCCGCTGCGTGAAGAGGGACCTGCCTTTGCCATTAAGACCAAACTGACTGTAGAATTAGCCACTCATCCATTCTGCTTCTCCGGAGGTGGAGCTTACCCAGTAATTGAGGTCCTGCAATGGCCCGGGCCTTAAGGGGCGTTTCCGGCTCGGCTACAGTCGACCGGGGGCGTGGCCTATCCTGTGAGCACGCCTTCCTCAGGTCGCTCCTGCCTTAGGGGCGGGGCTCTTTCCCTTGTTCCTTCCGCTAGCCAGGATTCTTTCTTGGAGGCGTGGTGAATGGGGGCGGAGTCATGGGCGGGGGCAGTCAGACTTCCTCCTACGCTCCCTCTTTCGCCTAGCGTTTCAGGCCGTGGTTCATTTCCGGTGGGGGTGGCGCGCTCGGTAAGGGTCCGGAAGTGGATCGCGCGAAGATTCCTGGGCGGTTCTTGCCGGAAGTGAAGAGCGGTTGATCGCTGTACAGAGGTGAGGCAGAAGTCTGAGGTGAGGGTTCGCGGCTGCGTAGGGACTGGGGTCTCTTCCGTGGCCCACCGGCCCCTGGCGTTGTTAATGGCTCTCCTGGCCTACACGCGTGTGGTGAACCCTGCGGGGGGGGTCGGGGGTGAGGTTCTCAGGCCGACCTGGACTGCTGGGCGCGGTCTCTTGAGGTGGGGTCGGAGTGACCAGCCGAGCCAGGCTGTCCTGGGGAGGCCTCTCGCTAGATTTCGCAGCGCTGGCCATCAGCCTCCGTGGAGGCCCGATTCCTAAGGTGCCCTGACTGAAAGGAACGAATGAGACTTTAGAGTTTTTCCTATCCCGCCATCTCGCTCCCATTGCACGGATGGCTAAATTGATCCCCTGGGAAGAGAGGAGGCTTGTCTCAGGTCTTACAAAGAATGAGGGGAAGAATTGGAATCGTGACCCCACGTCCTTATATTACCAGTCCCAGATCCTACCCTTCCCATTTCATTTTCCGGGAACCTCTACCGTGTGGTGGTCTTCCGGTTGGTTGTTGCCTCTCCGGACGCTGCAGATTAAAAGCTACCCGCTGCGTGAAACTTTTTTTTTTTTTTATTTAAACGCAGCTCTTCCGAAGCTTAGGGAATTTTTTAAAAGGGAGGAGGGCAAGTCCTTGCATTTGCATTCAAATAGACTCCCCTTCTTCCTAGTCCGCTCTTCTTATTCTGAAAAAACAAGTTAACTTTTATCTAATGTGTAGTTCTCGACCTGAAGTCAGATGGCTCAGGTTTTGTCTGGCCCCACTGCCAAGTATCTGTGGCCATAGACGCCTAAATTAACTTCTTTGAGCCTTAGTTTTGTCATGTTTTAAGTGGAGATCTCTGCTCATCTCACAGGATTAAGTTCAGTGAAACCCATTGTGCCAGACTCTGCCAGATCCAGGAAATGCAGTTTTGCTACAAAACAAGCTAGACCCTAGCCTCATGGAGCTAGCAGTGTTTGCAGAGAGGTTTAACAAATTTAACAATAAATGTGATGAGTGTTTAGGAAGAAGGGTGCTATGGAAATACATAACTAGGGGGTTAGGAAAAGCCCTTCTGAAAAAGCAAAGTTTAAGTTGAAATTTGAAGGATAAATAGGAGTAAACTTGATGGAGACGGGGTGAGAACATTTTAGACAGAGATTAGTATCAGGACTGTTAGTTGAAGCTCTTTGTAGCATTCTCTGTTCAAATGAAAATCGGGGCAGCCTAGCACATTCATCATTCGTCAAGCATTTGAGTCCTTGTATGTGTGAGGCCTGGGCCCTGATGGCTAAGAATACAGTTGTTCTCGTGGAGCTTAAAGTGGGGAAGAGAGCAGACAAATAAATCAGGATGGCCACACGGTGTCATAGTGCACTGTGTGAGCACAGGGGGCTATGAAAGCATAGAGGATGAATACCAAAGCCATGTTTCCAGGCTTCATGGAGGAAATAGGCTAAATCTTGTAGAATTTATTAGGCCATATGGTGAATCTAGAAAAGGGATTTCCAGGCAGAGAGAACTGCAAATGCGAGGACACGGTGGTGTGAAAGACCATGACTAGTTCGGTGTGACTGGAATTCAGTAATGCTTGGAGGGAGAAGTAGAGGAAGTGGCAAGTGGTGGGGTTAAATATGAAGGACCTTATGAGCCATGCTGATTTATTTGAGTTTTAGCCTGAAAGCTAAGGGGGAGGCTTTGAAGGGTTTTATGTAGGAAAATGATGTAATCAAATGTATGGGTTTTTTTAAAAATTTATTTTGTTGTTGAGAATATACACAGCAAAACATACACCAGTTCAACCATTTGTACATGTACAATTCAGTAACATTGATTACATTTTTTGGGTTGTGCAGCCATTCTCACCCTCCGTTTCTGAGTTCTTCCTCTCCCATTAACATAAACTCAACTGCCCCATAAGTTTCCTGTCTAATCCTTCCGGTTTCCATTGTCAGTTTGATCCCATATAGATAGTTCTTAAAAGAGCATAATGCTCACTCAAAGCAGACCTTTTTTTACCAGTTAAGCTAAACTACTGTTTGGTTTTAAGAAGACTTCAGGGGATATTTTTGGTTTAAGGTTTAAAGATTATCTCAGGGCAGTAGTTTCTGGGGTTCATCCAGCCTCCATGACTCCAGAAAGTCTGGAGTCCATGAGACAATTCTTATTATTCAAATTTATGTTTTAGTTCAGTCTGTCAGGTGGGAAGGGACTGGACATTTGTGGAGAAGTAGAGCAGTGTTTGGAAACTAGTAGTCCTGGAGAGAAATGATAATGGCTTGAACTAAGGCAGTGACACTGGGGATGGAGAGGAGGGATCTAATTTGAGCAACTAAGAAGTGGAATCCATAGAATTTGGAGGCTGATTGTTGTGGGAATGAAGGAGTAGGAGTCATCTAGGATGATAGCCTGATTTTCTGGCTTAGGTAATTGGTTGATACCAAGACAGGGAATATGAGAGGAGAGGGGAAGTTGGGGAGGTGGTATGGAAAGAAAACATATTTTGGACATGTTTGGTTTGAGATATTTGCAACACTTCCAGGCAAGGATGTCTAATATGGTATCCCATCTAGACGAAATGGCAAGAACAAAGTTGTGGAAGCAGGAGAAGGGCCTATATATATTGTTCAGTGGAGTAGTGGTGCCTGGAGTTTGTGGCAGAAGATAAAACTAGAAAAAAGGTAGATGTCTGCCAGATTGTAAAGGGCTTTTGATGCCTTATTAAATAAAGCATTTTGGATTTTATTCTTTGGTTGGTAGTTTGCTACTTTTTGACTTGCTGGGGTCCAGCCTACGGTAATTTTCTGTAGGAATTTCCCAACTTTTTATTCCCGAGAAATACTTTATCAATCAGGTGAACGTAATTGATGTCTCAGAGGGGTTTGTATAAAATGGTAGGAGTGAAATTATTTTGTAAAGTACAACACACCATGCAAACTGAAATTGGTGATATTATTAAAATCAGCGAGAGAGTGTATTTTTGCTTTGAGGCTAGCTGTTCAGTTTGTAAAATGTCTTAATTGTTTCCAACATGAGGGATGATATTTTTTTTCTCACCTTGTTTCTTGGTTATATATACATTTGTTTAGTTGCAGTTATTTTTTTTTAACCAGAGACTGAGCCTTTGAAAAGTACTTCCTGCCTTCGATTTTCTGGGAAGCGTTGTGAGTCAAAGATTCATTTACTTAAATGAGCAAATGCAATGTGTCATTTAAGTTGAGCCCCTGGTTTGAAATTTAATCCTGAGATTTGAAATCTGAGGATCCTCAAGCCACATCTCAATACAGTCCTAGTGATTATCCTTTGAATTGTCCTCATTAGTTTCTTTCTTTACTTTTAACTAACCTGTCTTTATACTAACTAAACCTATAGGCTTTCACACCCATACTTCAACTTCTCTACCACAACCAGACTTACATTTTAAAGAAGAACCATTTTCATCTTGTTACCTTTCACTGGCTTCATGTTTCCAAAGAAATCAAGTCTAAACTCCATTGTCTAATTTACAAAGTTCTCCATAATCAGATCCTTATTTTAGTTTTCATGGATGGTACAGATTGACTTTTTAATTTAGAAAGACCTAAACGTACGATAGGGAGCCCTGGTGGCACAGTGGTTAAAGTGCTCGGCTGCCAACCAAAAGGTCAGCTATTGAAACCCACCAGTTGCTCCGCAGTCGGTTTCTGTAAAGATTTACGGCCTTGGAAACCCTATGGGGCAGTTCTCCTCTCTTCTGTGGGGTTGCCATGAGTCAGAATTGACTTGATGGCAATGGGTTTGGGTTTGTTTTTTTGTTGTTGTTAGTTTAAACTACTATACTAACAACAAACTACTATATTATTTTATTTGCTTCTCTTGCACTTTTCTTTCTGCCGCATACTACGTTAGAACAGGATTTCTCAACCTCAGCACAATTGATATTTGGGGTTGGATAATTCTTTGTTGTGGGTTGTCCTGTGCGTTGTTGATTGTTTAGCCACATCCTTGGCTTCTACCTATGAGTTGCCAGTAGCACTCCCTCAATTATGACAACTAAAAATCTCTCCAGACATTGCTAAATGTCTCCTGAAGGGCAGAATTGCCCCTGGTTGAGAATTATTGCATTAGAAAGCATTGAGCTATGATTGTGCCATGTTTTATCTCCCAACTAAATTCTCTGAGGGCAGGCTCCATGGCCATGCTTAGCACAGTGTTTGGCACATGATAAGCACTTGGTTCCCTGCAATGAATGAATCATCTGTTTTCTTTGAGGCATCAAGAAACTATTGTTCTTTCAAGGAATTCTGGGTGGTCCTTGAAGGACCTGCCTTTTTTTTTTTTTTTTTTTTAAGGATGTGATCTTGATAGAGAAATCAGGGACTAGAAGCAAGCTTTGTGTTATTTGACAGTGTAATTTGGCAGATTTTCCTCTCCCCAGTTTTGGGGGGGAAGCCCTGATGGCACAGTGGTTAAGAGCTCGGCTGCTAACCAAAGGTCGATGGTTCAAATCCACCAGCTGCTCCTTGGAAACCCTATGGGGCAGTTCTA